CTTGCGGTTGAGGTCCAGGGGTGCACACTGCGATCGGATCCTTGCGGTTGAGGTTCAGGGGTGCACACTGCGATCCGGAGCTTGCCAGACAAGATCGGCGAAGCAGATTGGCAAAGCAGATTGGCGAAGAAGATTGGCGATGAAGATTGGCGATGAAGATTGGCGATGAAGATTGGCGAGGAGGTTGGCGAGGAAGGAAGCAAGGAGGAAGGAAGGAAGGAAGGAAGGTGGGAGGGAGGGAGGGAGGGAGGGAGGAAGAACAACTGTGATAAAATCTAAGGTGGGGAACGCAGGACAAAAAAGCATATCGAACGTGCAAAACGCCTGTTGCGCTTTGCACTTGTTTTTGGCCTTTTGGACTAGATGTGTTTCACTCCTTACACCTTAGACCCTTAGACCTTAGGTGACCTGCTCCATATTGAACAGTCCATGTGGAACCCTGAGAACGAAAACAAGCCACCTGGCATACAGGGACTGCACTGAGCTGCGGAGGGGTGGCACTCCTATCAGTCCTATCATACTTACAGGCAGTACGATCTGAGGGTGATCGGACTTGGGCTGCCAAAAAGGCGTCCACCCAGCATGTGGGAAAGACTTCCTTCATACCTGTCTGTTTTCTTTCACGGAGCCCTGACAAATAGCAATCGGCACGACAGACGTCGAGCAGGGTCCAAGATTCAGACTCCGAAAACGGAAGGTGAGGGGAAGGGCATGGGAAGACAGGCCACCACCAGTCATTGATGCATTTTTGTGATGAAGGGGAATGTGCAGAAAAAACTCCGCGGTTTGATCATTACATCAATCACCGATCAATCTCAATGAGCAAACCCGAGCCGCCGGCCTCACCATTGTTGGTTCCAACTGTCGCATTTAGATGCATTCTCCAAATTCATCCCGCTTCTTTGTGTCCAAAAACCAAAAACAAACACATCTCACCCGCTTCTTCCTGCACCTTCTCTCGTGCGACAGGAGTGGCGAGAGCTGCTTGTGGGTTTCACCTTGTGGATCTCAGTCTCCACCTCATTCTTCCACTGTCTCAGGCGCGCTGTCGGCGACTGGCCATTTCATGCCAAGGTGATACATGATGTCCAAAACCATTCTTTGATGTTCACAGGGTTCACAGCTTTGGTCAGCCTTGGCGGTGAGTCTTTCTTGGATTCAGACCCGAAGTAGAAGTAGTTGGAAAAGAGGCGGCGTAAGTGGACATAAATCATCATGAATCGAAGTACACAGGTTATTTGATTTCTCCACCAGACTCAGGGGGAGAGTATTGGGGTACCTGGGTAGTTTCTTTGAAAAACGGAAAACCAGAGATTCTCCAAAAGAGCTGAGCCAACATTCATTGGGTTTACACTCCTGAAGTATTGGTTTTGCGTGCTTTTGCTGCATTCCCGTTCTTTTCCCCGCGTCATTGGCGCCAGGCGCTTTCAACGGCGTCGCCGGGTGCGAGTGCTGGCGATGGCCGCTGGGCGATCAAAGAAGTTTTGCCGTTTAACAATCGTCCAATCACGTGATTTTCCCATCTTACAACTTACATCAACTTACACCGAAAGGGCGAACGTTTGGCAATTTTTCCAGTCGTCCGCCATCGTCCTCGTTTCGAGGTACGGTAAACTGCTATCTTTGTGAGCCACCCTGGCTGGCAACCTGATACGAACATGTTCCAAAGATTAACTTGGAATGGAGTGAGGGAAAACCACCACCGAAGTGAATGAAATCCGAAGTGAATCGGATTCATTTCTTTCCAGTTCTTGATGCGAGTAGCTGCAGAGGAGGCAGTGAGGCTCAGTCATGAGAGCCTGGGGAATAACCATAGCGCACCGTGACGTGTCGTTCGTCCGGCCATCCGCCAAGACCTGGCCGGTGTTGAGTGACGCGTCACAGTAAGCAGGTTCGCCCTTCCGCGTCATTTTTTTTCGGACCCTCTGACTCGACCTTTGCTGTTTTCGGGTTTTCTTTCACTCGGCGGTCAAGAGAGACACGGGTTCCAGCGGAAAAGACAACATATAGGGGATCATTCAAGTGAACGAACCGAATGGCCTGGGACCCGAATGGCCTGGGCCGAATCGGCCGTTTCGGCTCGTTCTCCTCATGAGGTCTTCAAGGATCTCCTCATCACTTTGACGGCGTTCTTGCTGACGGCCACGGGCCTCCAGAAAGCCAAGCGGTTTCGTGCTGGGGGAACGACGCCGGGTGTGGATCTCTTGATCTATGAGTCCCTCAAAGGTTGGTATTATTAGGAATCAGTTGAATATAAGTGAGACCTCCTAGCTACAAAAATGGCCAAACAGGAAGACAGGAAGAAAACTCGGAAGATTGAGCAAGGTGGAATCTGGGGCCAAATAGAGTCGGCACATGAGTCACATCAGTCAGGCTTTTGCGCGCTTCTCTGGTGCCCACTTCCAGAGGGTTGCCACAGTGCGCCCTCCTTGCAGATCTGCAGGTCCAAGTGTTGTGAAACTACGTCTGGTCGAGCTCGCTGCAACTGCCGTCTGAATATCTCGGGAAGTCTTCCAAGGCCCAGCCTTGTTTATGGCTTTGGTCCTTCTTCTTTGCTCCACTCTGGCGGCTGCTGTCAAGCCTTCCTGGACTAGAGAAGGTGGGACCAACCAGGGGAGACGGCCGCGAGACTTGCAGACGGGTGGTGATCTCGCCAGCCCTCGGTTTGAGGGTGTCACACGGCCAAAGCATTTCGGACATGTAGCCTTTGCCATCCTCTTCCCCCGCCCTTTGTTTCATGGTCTGGCTCCCAATGTAAGGACTTGTGTTACTCTTGACAGGGTTAGAGCAAAGCTTCCAGCTATGCTCCCAAGGTTAAGGGTTCGGATGAAGCGGTACAGATGTCTTTTCTGACATGCGGCTTCCTGTACATTTCATCTAGGTCCTTTTTTGTTTCGGGCTGGAGTGACTTTGCAGGTCGATCCGGGCCCTGCTCACTGGGAAGAGATCTTGGCTTTGGCCGGGCAGCCCAGGGAGGCTGAACAGGTATGTTGGATAAAGAGGGATAGGCGTGGAAAGTGGAAAGAGGCTGAGTTTCACCAAGATCAAAGATGACACTGTAGTGGGGTTAGTCACGTTTTTGCAATGGAAGGAATCAATCTAAGTTGTGCAAGAGAACCTCACCCTGAAATGACAAACTCGCCCAGCAAACTATGATCCATGAAGGTTCAGCGTATCTAAAAATTGCAAGCAATATGGTAGTGCCTGTTCACAGCATACATGGGAGGTTATTCAGGCGAGGTGATGCTTCCACGCAACATCTCATCACAGTCATTAGCTTTTTCTTTGCAACGTCTCGAATAAAGAGGTGACTGACTGGTTTGGTGTTAGACGTTTTCTTCTGGGTTGGGAGGGCTGCTTATTGCAGGTCTCTCACCAAAAGTGCCTTGGGTGACCCAAATGCGGTGGCCTTCTCTCGCCATCCGAGAAACTCCCTAAAGTGTTCGGGATCGAGGTTGGCAGCTTTGTCACTAGGGCAGCGATCTGTGACGAAGCTAAAGGGACCAGAACTAGCAAATTCCTCACAGCGAAACCCCGACTAAGACCCAGTGTTGGAGGTTAACCTGTTTGGGGACCCAGTCTGGCTGTTTTGGAAGACCGTGTATGAGGGACGGTATGAGAGAGTCCATCTGGCGAATCGACACGGTGCCAGTGCGCGCTCTCAGTGCAGCTCAGGCAGTGCTCCTCTGGCTGCTTTTGCGGAATGCCTACATCGTTTACCATGGCAGAGTGCAGCGGCATCAGAGTCAGGCCCGTCTTGATGCCCTCGTGCGGGTCGTGCTGGAGAAACCGCCCGGGCAGCCCAGTGTGACTGGTTGAAACTCAAGGACTTTCCCACCATGTCTGCATAGTTTCTCGGGAAGGACACCCCTTTCTCTAGTAGTCCCCCCCTGACTCTGCTCCTTTAGACCTGACCAAGATGTTTAGAAGCGCGGCTTCCCAAGGGAACATGGAGGTGCTGAAAAAGCCTTGCTAGTCGTATCTCAACCATGTCCATCGAACCCGGCGACTTCTTCCCGTGCAATCTTCGGGTTCCGACGGGACGACGGTCCCGGACCACCCACCACGAATGCGTCCGCATTCATTACCGACGGCTTCGAGGCCCGCAAGGGTGTCTGTGGACCTGGACTTTGAAACCCCAGCCGCCTGTGCCAAAAGCAGCGGTCAAGGAGAGGTGGCAAGGGTGAACAATGTCGTATATCCTGACGGTGCAATAAGTGCTGTCTTCATTGAATCTTTGGATCGTTTCCCTTCGATTTGCTAGAACACACATTGATTGCATCTTTGTCAGAGGGGCAAGTAGCTCATGTCTTCCTGCGTGGAAAACTGTAACGCCTCCCAAAACACTGCAACTGCAATAGAACCTGAACTAGTGTGAACATTTAGCGTAGAGATCCTCATCTTTGGGTTGATGTATGTAAGATTTGGGCTCTATCTCCCATATCAAGCTATCCTCTGTTCCAGGAGACATTGCTGGGAAGCCCGGCAGAAGAACTTGGCAGTGTCTGATGTGGTGCAACTTTCGAAAGGAATCGGATGGCTGGTTTTTCAACATGGCGACAGGCTGGCTGTGTATCTGTCGAGGCTTTCCAAGGTACCTTTCAGAAGAGGATATCGAGACACGAAGACCTTTCAAAGATTAGGCAAGTGCAAAATGGACATGAGAAACTAAAAGTTATATAATCTACTAGGAACAAGAAGCTACTGGCATGGCTACTAGGAGCAAAGAACGCTACTAGGGGCTCCTGGCCGTACTACTAGGAACAGGAAGCTACTGAAAACGAACTTTTTTTCCCACCAGCCACCAGCCATTCAGATTGCTCGTTTGGTACTGAGCTTCCACGCCCTCGGCCACGACTGCGTCGCCGTCCACCGGGGCCACGACTGCCCGGACCGAGGCTGAGGAGGAACTACAGAAGCTGCGGAAGGCGGGACGTGGAGTCCGATTCACGTCCTGTCGTCTTCCTTTTTTCCATTTGCTGAATGGGATGACCATTGCTGGTGGATTCTCATTTCCTCCATAGCCGTCCTTGATGTCCCGAGCCCATCCTAGGTTCCCTGCGCTTTTCAGCACCTTGACATTTCCAAGTCATCCTTGTCCTGTTTTCAGAAGCTTCCGTGCTTCGGGTTTGCACCAAACCTAAAGCCATGAAAGGGTGAGCGGAGGAGACGCGGAGGCTTTGCGAAGATGCTTCTTCACCCAGGAACAGTTAGGAAAAGTAGATCGCCTGCAAAACTGCAAAGCCTTTTTCAGAGATTGGTTTCCCCACAGAAAATGAGCAGGTGCAGAAAGGTTAACCGGTTATCCTTTTCTTTCTTGTTCAACTGAGGGAGTCAGTTGAAAAACTGAGACCATACTAGTTGGAAGACCTACGACTCAGCTAGAGCTAGAGAGGATGCGATTTGACTTGTCAGCAGATTCTGCGCCACAGGGTCCTTATGACAACCTACTTGAGGCTGGCAAACAACTTGTAGCTCCACCAGACCGATGACTCTGATGCATTTGGTTGGTCAAAATGATATCTCAATTGAAGCCAGTGCTGGCAGTCCATCATGTGGATGACGGTTCAGGTGCTCCCGACAGACCACCTCCCTGAAACCCAAGCTGGGGCATCCCCGCCCACTTTCAGCTATGCTGCACCATCAGATCTCCTTGACACTTGGAGGGGATGGCCTTGACACCAGAACTGCATCCCTGGACCTGAACTGCCCACCATTCCATGACATGAGTTCATGCCACACAGGTCCACTTCAGCTCTGGCTGAGGTCGGGTGTTGCTTTCCGCCCTCGATGGCTCAAAGAAGAACTCTGACATGCATGCACAGATGATGTTACTACACACTCCGCATGGAATGACCTGTGTCCAACAAACTCACAAAGGGAATGAACCAGCAGGTGCATATTCAATGGGTTTTGACTATCTCGTCTAACAGCTGCTCCCCCGTCCGACAAGCTTGAAACAAGCGACTTTGCAGGCCTTGCTTCGTTGGACATCCCAGGTGACTTAAGCAAATAAAGGCAAATTAGACTGGATTCTTTTGAGGTTTTTGTGGGATGAAACTTGAAAAGAGATTCATGCCAACAGAGGCATTGTCTCAAGAAGTAAGGGCCTAAACAAAGCCAACATATCAGTTGATTTTCCTTCTACGATCTTGGGATGTTTGAGTACCCACTGGTGCAAGCTGTACAGTTGCTGGGCAAGAAGGCAGACGGAGTCCGATCTGGGCATAGTGCCATGTCCTCCAAAAATGCGCTGGAAGGCAGGGATCAGACACTGTTAGCCAGTAGATACGTCTGGGTGTGAGGAACGCACACGGGGGGTTACTTAGCGCAAACCCTACAGGAGATTGACCAAGAACGACGTGTTCCTTGGGATGAGCCTTTTGTTACTTTGAGCTGCTAAGAATAGCTTTGACGGCCTGACAACTAAAAGGATACAAACCACTGTTGCAAGATATTCTGCAGCACCTGCAACCACCTCCTACCACCTCCAAGGTTGGGGTATTCCCTTTATCACAGGTTTGTCGGAATTCTTCCATGAACTGTAGCACCTCATGGGAAAAGCGTATCAACTCCGACAACTCTGCTTCACTCTTTGTGTACTTTTTGCAGCAACTTTGTGTATGAATGTACAACCTCCTTCTTCTTTGAGGCCTTCTGCAGCCTTTACGTGGTGGCCGCCTTTTGGGAGGCCCGGAAACCGGGCCAAATCCGGAAGATGGGAGGCACTAGTGCATCGCTACTAGTAACAAGGGTCTTTTTTTGGGCCAAAAGAGTCTTGTGTTAGCCTGCGAACGCATTCCTGAGGCGAGCGCTGCCAGCCCAGGTGCGGAAAAAGGGTGTTGGTTTGGTTGGATTGTCAGGGCGTGAAAAGCTGCTGGCAGATCTATGGACAGGCAGTTGAACAATGTGCACTGTAGATCTGTAGGTCAATATCCAAGAAACTTGGCACATCCAGAGTTTTCTTGTTGGGCTGGACATGTGGTGTCAAGATCCGCGATCCACCACAAGCTGTTTCTAGGCACAACCCATCTTTTCATCAATGCCACCATCTCTTTGCATCTAGGCAATTTTACCAATGGCACCTCCAATGTGAGCGCGAACGATCTGGCCCTCGCAGTGTTGACAGATGCGGCTCTGCAGCGAGGGCAGGAAGGGCTCCCACAAGCAATCCGTGTACGCGTTCAATACAGGGGTAGGTAGTCAGGTAGTCCCTTTCTTGAAAGTGCCATGGCGGTTTGGCATTTGGTACCCTTGTCCTGCCTGAGAAAGAGAGTTTGGGCGGGTTTGGACAACTTGGGGCTTTGTGGGTTACTCCACCCGGCTTCCAAGAGGGTGGACATGCGGTAGCGGGTAGCGGCTCACACGACACGGAACACACGGCAGAATCCTCCAGTTGGATCCTGCGTGTGCAACTCAAGTGGCGCCAGCTGCTATGACCGGTCAAAAACCACGGATCTTTGGTCCTGACCGGACTAACTGCCTTCGTGAGGCCATCGCTTTTTTTTTTGTTGGAGGCCCTTACTACTAGTAGCAAGGACTCTACTAGGTTGGCATCCACAGGTTCAATTTTGGAAGGGCGCTACTAGGCTGATGAGGTGGCAACGCCAGCGAGAGAACACACGCTGGACGTTCAGCATTTCGGAGTCTCAGGATGCCGGGGCCAACCACACGGGGAGTCCAAACCTTCTGCAGATGTCCTCTTCGCGTGAAAGTGGCTTGGTTGCGAAGAGACGTCTTCGCAGGGTTTACAGCATTGCAGCATCGTTTTCCGTTCGATTCCTCCTTGAAGCTCAAGCCTGTCGATTGACAACACGCCCAATTGACACATCACACGCTGCCGCCCTGAGGTGGTTTCGAGTACCACAAGGAACCATTCCCACCTGACTGGCGGCATGATGGGCTCACAGTGTCTCAGCGCATGTGCGGTATGGGGGGGATACTAACCTGTATTGGCAAACGAAGGAAGGACCTCAACGACAATCTGGTCGGAGGCAAAAGGCAAACCAACTTGCGGAAGAGAACGCACTGGTACTATTGAGAGACTTTGCATTGAATTAAACATTTTTCTTCTGTCCCTGCCGACCTTGTGCGAAAGAATTTTGATGACCCTGGGAACAAGTCTGCTTTCCTTCATGTGGACGGGTCAAGATGCCTGCTGGACAATTGGTGAGCAGCAAAGGTCCTAATCCTGTCGGTGTGATCGTGCTTCGGCTGGGTCGGTGTCAACGCCAGATGTGCGTACTTCTCCCAGCGGACGGCCAAAACGTGGATGTTGCTATGCCGAGAACAAGAAACATGAAGAAATGATGGAATCCCCTTCTGAGGCCAAAACTCGGGTCTTGCCAAAGCAATTGCGTCCCGCGTGCCAAAAAGGAAGAATCAGGTCTCATTGAAGGAAGACACGTGCAGACAAACAGGTCTCTCTCTCAGGTCTCTCTTGGCCGGTGCTTCCTTCCAAATTCGCTCGCCTCAGGTTCTCTTAGCTTCCTTGGGCCTCATTGTGGCCGCGTCGGGTGGCATTGGCGGTGGGGGCATCCTGGTGCCGCTCTTCATGCTTGCGCTGGCGCTCACGGGGCGCGTGCGCGTGGCGTGCGTGGCGTGCGCAGCGCGTGCGCAGCGCGTGCGCGGGTGGATGGGAATCGGCTCAAGAACTCTTGGACAATGTTTTCTTGGGGCAACTGAACATTTGTTATCATCTGTTGCTGACGAGCGGACAGTCCTCTACAGGTTCGACCGCCGAGGGCACGCTCGATTGCGCAAGTGTGTGAGTGTTATCATCTGTTGCTTATTGCTTCGTCCCTATTCTGGTGGGAACTTCAGTCGGCGTCCAGAGTTTCGCGGGTGGGGTGGGGTGCAAGTGGGCGCGCGACTGGGGTGGGGGGCCGATGGTTGAGGTCTCCGTGGGGGACTAGTAGCGATGTCCTTGCTACTAGTAGCTTCGTGCTATACTAGTAGTAATGCCCTTGTTACTTGTAGCGATGCCCTTGTTGCTAGTAGCGATGCCCTTGTTGCTAGTAGCGATGCCCGTGTTACTAGTTTTGGAGCTTTGTGCAGCCACTTGTCAAGCCCTTGCATTTCCTGTGGTAAAAGAAGCCACTTGTCCTTCTGATGGCGGAGAATCTGAAAGTAACACCAACAGACCACGGTGACAAGTTTTCCCGCAAAAATACCTCAATGTCAGAGGTGCTTTATGATATATACCTGGAGCCTGGTTCGATGTCTTTTTTTTAGGTTCGCCTAGAAAAGCCATTCGCCTAGAAAAAAAGTAGGCTCTTGGTAAGGCTGCAGAAATGCACAAGAATCTTGCGATCTCGAGGAGTTCAAGAAAGAGAATGTCAAGAAATAGCATTAAAAATAATTACTAATTACAGACTATGTGATTGCTTTCAGTTGATGGAACCACTACAGCAAATTCAATCAGTTTGCACCAAGAGCCACTGCAAGGAAGTGTGTGCTACTTAAGGGTTTTGGGGTCGTGACTGGGGGTATCAGTCACAAGCATTTGCCGCTGCTGCCACATGTGGTGGGTGGCGCGAAAGACCGCAACGATCATTGAGCTGGAGGCCAGGTCTTTGGGTGACCATGCTTTCGGTGGATCGCAAGAGCTTCCATGAGCTGAGAAGTGTTGACAACTCTTTTCAATGTCTCCTCATCCTCACGGATGTTCCCCTGACTCGGTGTTCGGAGATTGATATCTAGGTCAGACTTTTGACATTCAGGAACGATGCCGCTTAGTGTTTTCCACTGCTTTTGCACAGCTTGTCTTTGTTTTTCTTCTGTGTTCGGTGTGTGTGTGTGTGTGTGTGACAGCGTGGGTTGAGTCATCCTACCATGTCCGCTACCCTTTACCCATGCTTTTAGATGCTTTTAGCATCTTTCAGTTTGGAAGGTTTAGCAAACAGTGCGCTAGCCATGCCTGGGAAGCGTTTTCCAGATGGGCCCACCTGTGACCAGCCTGAGAGGGTTGCTGAGGATTGGTGGGACTGTCCAATCCTGAAAGAGCGTGTGAAAAGGGTGGGGCGGCTGATAGAAGCTGCTGACGTCAAGAAGGGGGGAAGTGAGAAGCGGGAAAGTGAGAAGGGGGAGGAAGAAAAGAAGGGTGAACCAGAGTGCTTGCCAACAAGAGCAAACACAATTCACAACTCGCAGGTCATCCTTTGTTTAGCAAAGGACATGGCTCGCCGAGGTCGGCTAGGTGCTGACCCAATCGAAGTGATCTCCAAAATGACTTTCCACTACTACAGCCAGCATCCAGTGTACGCCCAGCTTGTGTCAGATGTGCGGATGAAAGTTTGGGCGTACAATGACGCTTGGAGTCTTCACAAAATGGTGACTCAATTTCGGGGGCCTGTGATGAAGTACACCAACACAAGGGCAACTTGCTCACCGTCCAATGCTTGTTCATTTTTTCTTAACTGTTCGTACTTCCTAGCGTTGTGGGGGGCTATACATGGGTAAGACATGGGTATACTGCGTCCATCCGGTGGCTCAAGGTATCAGAGCTTTCCAGCATCTTCGATGTGCTCAAGGGAGCTTACATGAAGCAGTTAAAGGCGTGACTGGTTACTGGTTACCCACCTCTCCCACCCATTTAGCAGAAAAGGGTTTTCATTGCGTTCTTTTTATCAACTCACCTTGCCCTTCCCTGCCAGGCTCACATGGAGGAGAACGGCGACTCAACTTCAGCTGGGGAATGTGAGATGAAGACTGGAGAGGTTGAGGACAGCATTGGAGTTTGATTGCAGACTTGCCAGGGCTGCTTCCAGGCCAAACCTGTTGGCTGAATGGGATTCTCTCAGGGCCGCTCCTTTGGTGGAGATCTCGGACAGTCCTGTCAAGGATCTTGCCCCTTCCTCTCATGCACTGCCAACACAGGCATTGTCTGCACGTGAAGCCTACAAGCGCTACCAGGCCTACTTGGAAGCTGCTCAGCATAAGCTGGACACCATGAACTTGGAGGATGGGAAGCCGAAGGATCTGCCAGCTTGTGAGCCGTCTACCAGCGTTGCTGCAGCAGATGTTGTTGCAGAAGGACGGGAGTGTGACAAGTATTGGGGTGAAAGACACAATGGTAAAGGAAACCCTTTTCTGTCAGTTGTGCTTCTTTAAGGCGGAATGGGGAAAAGTACCAACTCACTTTGTTTCGCTTCCTGGATATTGAGGAGCTCCAAATGGTTGGGTTGCTACTGCTGAGCCTGAAGAGTCATTGACTCTGCAGACCTTGGTTGATGGGCCCTTGTCCTCTCCGGCCTGTTGGCTGAACGAGGTGGAAACACAAATGGTTGATTTTAGCCAGGCTGCGCAAGACTTGACTACAAATTTGCCGGAGACTCAACCACTTGAAACCTACTCAGATGGACTACCCCCTTTGCACAGGACCAGTGTGCCACCCTCTGTGCTGCGAGGTGGCAGCTTCACAGAGACAGGTGAGGAGCTGTTCTTTGTTCCTCTCAACCCACCGCAGCCAACAACCTCTCCACCGGCTGAGGAGGTGGAGCCAGTGGGGGAATGTATGATTGGCAACAAGCCGGTAGGGGAACTGAAGCCAACCAGCCAGCCATTCGATGAGCCTATGATTGGCAACAAGCCGGA